TGAGTATATTGTACGTGATAAGTACTTGACAATTTCATTATTAAAAGGCCAAAGAAACTGCACATATCAATAACGATCTTTTATTTCTGCATAATTTCTTCCAGAAAGCTTCTACTCATATTGCTCATAAGAATATTATTTTTATGCCCATATTATTCTTCCCAAAGGTTAATGTGAGCATTAAGTGGGTAATAAGAGTACCTTCCATTATTTTAACATTTGCATTAAAATAATCTATTTCAATATATCAAAATACATAAAACATCAACGAACCTATTAAATGATATGAACAAGATTTTTAAATTCTTTAATATGAAAGAGATGTTTTCTTGAAGTGCTCGTAATAGCCATTCTCTCTCTCTCTCTCTCTCTCTCTCTCTCTCTCTCTGTCTCTCTCTCTTTTCTCTCTACCCTACATACATTCGCGTGCGCGCGTACACACACAAAGGCCGTCACTTCATTTGTGCGTTTTTGTCATACGATAAATTTTTCAAGTCTATTGATTGGGTGTAGGATAAAGAGATCCGAGGGTCCCTCTCTTCTACATTTGTCGTACAATAAAAACGCATAAATGAAATAGCACCCAAATGCATGCGTACGTGCGTGGATGCATGCGTGCTTGCGTGCGTGTGCGCTCGTGTACGTGTTTAATAAAATCTTTAATATTTCAATTCGTCAAGAATAAGATATTAATCAATAAAGGAAGAAAGAAGAATAAAATCGGTTTCTCTGAATAATCAAGTAATCACATTTTTAAAGTAAAAACATGGATAATCATGACAAAAAATAAATAAAATTGAACTTAAGCCTGTAACTTTGTATCTATTGATTAATCAAGACCATTGGAGATTATTGCTCTTATTTTCATTTTTGCACTAAAAATTCATTTTTACGTAAAAATAAGAGGTACAACCACCAATGGCCTTGATCTTGACAAATGTTATCCAGGACATGATCTTGAACAACATTCAAGAGTTTTAACCGTCGGTCGGACAACTTCCGTAATGCTAATGCCGGCAATATTGTAACTTTCAAGCTTCATAATTCGAAAAGTACTTAATAAAAATAAACTTAATTATAGTGTTTTGAAAAGCTCTCGAGGTAAGCTACAAGAAAATGTAATAAAAAATGGGGGATTCTAATTAAAAAATTCAAAGTGGCCTTGCTCTCACTTTAACAACGCTAACGCCAATGTCAAACAAATAGTACCATCTTATGCTCTCCTCAAAGTCATAAAATTTTTGTCTGAACACATTAGTCATTTGACACATACTTTCAGAGATAGCTTGTAACACTTTACATGGCCCTGTATATTTTCACTATGCTTAGAAACAAAAAAATTATTAAATATCAAAACGAACCAAAATGCATATTAAGCTAAAAATCGATACTTTAATGTGGCATTAATGAAATTAAGTATAAAAACTAGCTGCCAGTGTTGCAACGTGTTGGATACCAGCTCAAAATCGTCGTTTTATACCTCTTCCTCGTTATTTTTCTCAAAATTGTGACAAGATAGCTAACTTTTGCCAACGGATGATTAGCACGCAGAAATACATCGGAAACAACTATTCATATTCATGTTACAAAATATTTCATGGTGTAATGATTGAAATTTAGGGTTGGCAACGTTACCTCATAAAAATAACTCGTTACCGTTACCATTCTTTTTCCTAAAAAGTAACTCGTTATCGTTACTCGATCGTTATTGATTTGCAAAAGTAACTCGTTACCGTTACCGTCATTCAAAATGTAACGAGTCGTTATTTTTTCGTTACTTTTTTTCTTGACACTAATAAAATATTATAGCGTTTTTCATTGGCAGAACTTGTGCACTCAATGCACATTAAAGCCGTTGTACACAACTCTAATCTAAATGTAAAAATGAGATATCTAAGATGATAAAATGCCTAAAGTATATTTTATCAAATAACACAATAAAATGTATTGAGGATTTCGCGCTTTAACTCGTTTCTATATTTTTATTAACAATACATCTTTACATCGCTTGTACAGCGGCTTTAAAATGCATTGAATGCGTATTAGTTCTGGCAATGAAAAACGCTATTATATGCAGATTCTTGCGATAACTATAAAAAAGATGTCAGAATTTTATTTCTTAGTAGAGGAATAAAACTCAAAAACTCTGATAATGTATATATATATATATATACATATGTATACATATATGTGCATACGTTCTAGTCACGAATAAAACTTTTACGTAAATAAAAATAAAGTAACGATAAAAGTATCTAATGAAATCGTTGTCATTATCCCAAAAACGTAACTACGTTACCATGAACGTTATTCAGAAGAAAATGTAACATCATTACTCAATCGTTACCAAAAAAAGTAACTTGTAATGGTAACGACGTTACAAATTAAAGCGTTACTTGCCAACCCTGTATGAATTTAATGATTAAGGATTATTATCTTTAAATTTTAGGAAAAATAAAACAGAATACGTATTCATGAAAATGTAGAGCTCGTTTAAATAATGGAATTAAATTTTTCATGTCCGGATTATTATTATATTATATTTATTATTAGAAGTAGATTATCTTGATATTATTTTTATAAGTATGTAATTAAAGGATATTAATAATTTTCATTTAAAATTCCCAAAAAAAATATTGATATAACTTTTGTTGCAAATTCTTAATTAATCACTTATAATTTCTAAATGTGGTAAGAAACTTACAATTTTTTAATTAATAGTAAAATTATTATTAAAAAATGAACTTTAACCCTTAAAAATACTTTGACCTCTTTTGTAACGTAAACGCCACACTTGGAACAGCATACCTAAACCAACTTTGATTGCTCAGACCATTCATAAAAATGAATATATTTTAACAAACTTTTTTTCAATCAAAACGCCAGACAGTAAGAAATATTACGATACCAAGTAAATATACGTATCTCTATTAATAAAAAAGTTATAGGCTATAAAGTAAACAATAGTTTCGAAAAAAAACCACATTTGTTTAAAAATTCTTATTTTTCGTACATAAGTTACAAAAATATTTTAAATATTTTGGAAAGTAGAAACTTCGAATATTAAAAAAAAATATTGCATTATTGTACCTTTTAAAAAACATAATTATTTAAAAAGACGAAAATGAAGAAAATTTGAAATTTATTTTGGAAAGAAGACATATTTTCTGTTGTCGAATAATAAATTGAATGCACAAAAATGCATCGAAAATGTCAATTTCTAGAATTAACACATTAGCATAAAAAATGTTTGTTATAATTGTAAGTAATTATGTTACATAAATGGTTTTACACACACACACACACACACACACACACACACACACACACGCACGCACGCACGCACGCACGCACACACACACACAGTGTCCCGTTTTAAAGGATCTACTGAAATATCGGGAATACTGCCTTAAATCAAAAAATGTTTCAGACAAAAGTTTTTTTACTTCGAGGGAGACATAAGATGGTATTATTGGTTTGACCTTGGATAGCATTGTGAAGGTCAGGGCAAGATTATTATGAATTTTTTAAATGGAACTCTCCATTTTTCATTACATATTCTTGTAGTTTATCTCGAGAGCTTTTCAAAATACTATAATGAAATATTTTTTCATTGAGTACTTTTCAAGTTAGAAGGTTTGAAAGTTACAGTACCGCCGGCATTAACATTAATTACCCAAGGTGTCCGACGGACGGCTAAAACCTCTTAAATATTGTTCAGGATCATGACCTAGATAACATTTATCAAAATCAAGGCCATTGGAGCAAAAATATATTATAACTTACGTTGATTACACCAGCAAAAAACTATCTTAAATGCCACACTTGAGTATATGATACCCATGACACTTTTCAATGCCTGATATTTCCTAAAATCTTCGACGCAAATTATTTAATGTTTTATAGAGTATAAAGATAAAACCATAAAGTTTATTTTCTGACCCGGTATTTTCTGACCGAGACGGTAGCTACCTTTCCAAAACAAAAAAGTTCTAATCTTGGAAATAAAAAGACCTGACTATGCCGAAAGTGTTTTTAAGAGTTAAACATAAGTATACAAACTATCATAAGTTTTTGATAGCTTTGTTTGTAAACAAAAATTTTAAATACTTATAGTTTTTTACAAATCCATAAAGATTTCTTTTACACAAAGGAGTATAATTACTTTTTATGTGTTTGGTAAAAATAACCAAAAGAGAATGTTAAAAAGGTGAGATTTTTGCCCGAAAAGATGTAAATAAAAGGAATAATATTTTTTGTAGATTTTATTTACCTGGATACGATAAAATTATTAAAAATTTTGTAGCGTTTGGAGAACACCTTGAAAATTAAGCAAGAATATTGAAATTTGAATAAATACATCATGTTCGTTCTCAATCTTCGAAGGGTTCCCTAAACGCTACAAACTTTTTAATAATTTTATCGTATACAAGAGATCAAAATCTATAAAAAACACTATCTTCTTTATTTACATCTTTTTGGGTAGAAATCGACTCTTTTTTAACATCCTCCTGTTTTTCATTCAAATATGTTATAGTCACTCTACTGTCACAATCAACCACAATGATCGTAAATAAAACTTATGTTTATGATGTGATATTTTGTAAATGAAATAGAACAAAAATTAGAACAGAATTTAACAATGCTTTTCACTTTTTCCATTTTATCTTCTTAGATGCTTCTGAATTGCTATTTATATAAAAGATTTACTGTTATGTTTTCTATAATGCAATATAGTTAATAGTTAAATAGTTGTTTTTAAAATAGCGGATATTAATTTAAAATATTATAAAATATTGTCTGGAATTTTTATATTTATAAATTTGAATTTTTTTAAATCAAATGATTAACTATTTCATTTTTATCCCAATGCAATAAATACGTGATAAATATTGGTACGTGTGATAATAATATATTTACATAAATATTGTACATATATATTGTACATATATATTAACACAATTTACTATTTTTAGTAACGTCAGTTAAATTATTTTTACCTGATATAATCGGATCCATTGGAAAGACGATTGTAATCCAGCAGCCGTCGGTTACATACAAGGCAATAACTCTGGAGTTGTAATGTTCCGTCTGTAGTTTTCAAAATGCGCTCAAGAGAAAGAAGTTAGTTTCGTTAGTAATTGACGTTAAGCTTATTCAAATGCAATTTTAATGTACAGTGTCCACAATCCGTATAATGTACAAAAATAATTTATGCATTACAAACAATTCAATGTAAAAAGTATCATAAAACATATAAATAACGTTTAATGACGAAAAGATATTTCCATATTTCGGACAGAATTGCAAATTCTGTCTAAATTACAAATCCTTATTTGTTAATTATATATACATTTATTAAGAAGATATTTATTAAGAAAGAAAATATTTATGATCGATTATTAATTTTGATACGGTAATATAAGTATTATATTATCAATATTATCTACAAATTTGATGTTCAATTCAGTTAAGAATATATCCTATGTAACATATAATATATACATACTTATTCGAATCTTCTAACTTACAAATACTTTTTAAACTGCACACGTAATTTTATGAAAAAGTGTGTTATCAAAAAGATTTCAATAAATATATGTTTAATACAAATATTATATCTATGATAAATTCAAAGGAAATCCTAATCATGGTAAATTAGTAGTTATAACGAAGCTTACAGGGTGTACGTCGTGTTAAATAGGAGTAATCATTTTTTAGGTCCAGTTTTTTTATATTATCAAATCTGCAAGTGCAGAATATGCGATAATAATGATGTATAATATGTAACAAAAGATATAACGAAATACACGAGCATAAAAAAACAGATTCGCGAACTGTTATACCGCACCGTCTTGCTTATGTACCACAAATCGTAGTATTGGCAGCTGAGTAGACGAAAAAAGCAGCAGGGAGACGGTCAACGGCGCGCAGCTTGCCCTTCGCTGCCTCACTGACTGGAGCGACAGATTTACCAGAGCAGAAATAAGAAAATCCCTCTACCCCTCTTAGAGTATACACAATCCCAGCCGTCTTAGTATAACGTTCTATATATGCACACATGCGTACTTATAATAATGTGGTTTACTTATATGTGTATTTAAATGAATCAGTTGAATTTAAAGAACGTTCGCAAATAAACTAAGTTTTGTTTTTAGTGTGCATTATATGTCCACTGATATATTTATACGTGTACGTAAAATAATTAATAGAAGAAGAAATGTCAGAGAAAAAGAACGATATGAGGAAGAGTAGAATTCAGCTTGAAAAGGCAAGTGATTGACTAACCGATTGGCTGTGGATGTGATCACACAAAATGCATTCTAAAACGCTCTTGTGTGCTTGAAACACATTCACTTACACGTGCGTATAAACATTCGTGCGCACGCTCGACTAAGCACAACCGAACGATAAAGTCGGTGAGTTGAGGGAGGAGGCTGGCTACGTCAAGAGGCGGAGTCTCATTCGCATGGACCATTGACAGCAGCGCACTGTGAGCAAACAAGGTTTACGCCTCTTCACTATGCCTACCTGATTCTAGCCACATTTCGTTTAGTACTAACATAAGCATTTGGCTCGTCAAACTGATGCGTAATAGCACGCACGCGTGTATAAACTATTAGTGCTCTGTCTGCAACATCAAATAAAATATACTGTAAATAAAGTGTAATATAAAGGAACTGCAATAGAAGCGTAAATCAAGAATGTTTTTGCATTCTTTGTTTAATTAAATTGATTGTCTTCAAGGAAATTTTACAACGAAATCATTTTTTTATTAGTTTGTATTCATAAAAGCAAAAATTCTAAAATTAAAAGTTTTTATTCACATTAGAAAAAATTAGAATAAATAGTAGAATGTTGTGATTAACATCGCAAAATGTATTATAGATTCAACGTTGAAAATACATTGCAGAAATGTTCAATAATGTCCATTGAACCTATATCTTGCAGATGTTGCATTTCAACATTGATTCAATATTGATTCAACGTACGTAGTCAGTAAAATATAAATTTTACTGACTTCCCGGTAAAAAATTTTACAATAATTAATCCAGTTTTATTGTTAAAATAAATATTACTGATTAGCATCATATTTCAGAATACACACGATTAAAATTATGATTAAAAAACATTTCTCCCTGAAATCAGAAATTAATTTCATAGTCCTCCGAAGATCACCCATTAAAAAGCTGTGCTATAGACCAAGAGGCCACTGTAATGATTTTATTACCCGTAGCGACAAGTATGGAAAGTGTGTAACCTATTTTATTTCATGTAAAACATAAAAATAATGCATATATTTAAACCCTATCACAGTCACTTGAAGGGGAGATGGACTTTTCAAAATATTGCAGATTTTGATTTTTTACTGAAAGAGTCAAGGTTGTTGTTGCAATCAATAGTTAATACCCTTATTTCAAGACTCCCATATCCCCTCAGAAGGGTGCAAGGGATCGCCATACTGGGTCAAAGTAAATTTTTTCTGAAAAAAAATCGATAACGACAAAGTTGAATTTTTGTCTACTACTTAATTTTGATATCAATTGTCGAGAAATATGATTCCCATACCTTTTGGGTGGTCACAAAAGCAGCCATACCTAAAATACAATTTTACATGGAGTAAGAAAATTCATATAATGATTTTTTATTTTTAGCTTATTTACAGCTACTATATTTTCTATACGAATTATTTAAATATGTATATGTTTGAAATTTGTGAGAAAGAAAGTTCTAATACAATCTAGTGCAATTAGAGACTTTGTATATACGAAGCTTCCTCTACAACTCGAAATATTGCAGCAATATTACAGCAATATTTCAATAGTGCGCAATATTATAAAAATTGCAGTAATATTGCAATATTGTTTATTATCGCATTCCCTATCACTCGACTGCACACATCGAGTGACAATTTTGAGTGATAATTTAGTGATGGATAAGGCTCGCAGACGCTTCTTTGACTAACTGCACACAAATCTTACCATAGACTTTTCTTAAAAACGAGATTATAATAATTTAAAAAATTACGATTTTAATGGTCACAAAAAAGTAATAGATCAACGGCCAGTCTGGGGAGATATTTACGTACATAAATTTGCATATAACTTCGAAAAGTAAACATAATCTGATCTTGTTTTTGTTCGATGAAAATGCAGCTCTTAATTTACTATCATATGTTTTATACTATTAAGATATCTTGGTGAAAATTTTTCTCATAATTTTTATACAAATTGGAACATTTTTCAGAAATACTCAGAAATATTCGGAAAGTTTACATTTTCTCTCAGAATTTTTCATACAAGTAAATTCTGAAATATTTTGAAATTTCTCATCCAATAATTTTTAAAAAATATTTTTTAATTTTTTAGATTTTATAACATTTCATCAGAAATTATACTTACAAAAACTTTTAGAAATCCTACGATATTTCATAAGTAACATATATGAAAAATTCTGAGAAAAAATGTAGATTTTCTGAAAAGTGTTCCAATTCGGTTGAAATTTGATATCATTAAATTGTTGATTTTTTATTACACAAATGTTCTAGAAATAAGTATTCACAATGCTATAATATCTTACAGAGAGAGATTGTTGCAAAATTACAATTTTTTTTCTCTATAGGGTTTTTTTTAGAAGACATTTTCCCAGAATCCGTCGGATATCCGACTCAAAGAAATTGCCTTCTCGGATATCCGACCGGATACCGAATATCCGATGTTACATTCTGTCCGGATATCCGATATCCGGTATCCGATAATTTTACGATCCGATGCATCCCTAATAATTTATATATATCTGTACATAAAAAATATTAAGGTATAATATGCTAAGATACATTCGCACTCATTCAAATTAACATTACATTAATATGTGAACGTATAATTCGCAAATTAGATTTCCCAAATTTACATCAAATTCGAAATATAATAAATCTTTACGCATTTTATATGTAAATTTAAAATGTAGATTTAGGAAATAAAACTTACGAAAATATCATTACTTATATCTTCACACATTTAATGTAATGTAAATCTAATACTTTTTCTTTTTTTACACAATCTACACACACACACACACACACACACACGCGCGCGTTAACTCTTACACTTTCTCTTTCAAATTATATAAAATTATTTAATTTGAACAAGATAACGAAGAAGTGGCTCTCTCTTACATGATGAGAATGTTGAGATTTGATCGAATGTTTCATCAGTAATCGGATAGTTATTAAATAATAAGGTTGCTATGTTAGAGAGTAATACTGAACATTTGCCGGATACGTATATATACTGTAATGGCTTTGTCGTTGATCGATTTCCGCATTTGTCTCAATACTGTCTTTCGAAGAAACATTTAAAATTTCTACCACATCAGTCGCAACAGACTGAGCAATTTTTGCAATATATTATTTCCTAATAGCATAGATCTCCAAGGGACGTTTCAAAGAACATTCAGAGGATATCCCTACGTCCTAAGAACGTCTCTCGAATAAAGTATGCTATTAGCGTTTTTATTTTCTAAAATAATACCTATCTTCAGCCTTATTGAACACGCTTACAAAATATTAATATTTGAAAACAGGACCGCTTACATAAATAAATCGATTAAATACGAGAGTGTCAATTACTGCTAAAGTTAAATTTAGGATAATCAATATTTTTGTATACATTTATCTCAGAACTTCGATTATACGCCGATGATGTTCGAATTTGCAACAATGTGAAATACTAATAATTCTCCCCAAATTAAATTAAAATTTGTAAAGGACTCTTATTGCGAAAAATATTTAAATTTTAAAATACATATTGATGTATTATTCTAAACATCTAACTTTAATAATTGACGATCTCGTATTTAGTTGATGCATTAAATCACATTATATCAATCCAACATAACTTATATATTTAGTAATGCGATGTAATTGCCATTAACAAATCCATATAGCAATCTCATTACTTAATAATTACTCGATTATCAATGTAATATTCGTCCAAAACTCAACATTCTCATCATATAGGTATATAAAGAAGACACTTCTTCGTTATCTCATTCGAACTAAATAATTTTATATTATTTGAATAAGAAAGAATACTTTTAGAAATATGCAAACGTATGAAAACGTTTGTAGTTTGAAATACCCTTGGCAGACAATGGCTGCGTTGCAATGGGAACGTCGCTCGGATGCCTCGGATTTATCATCTGTCCTTATTTAATATTTAATGTTTCATTACGGTCTCTACTGTAATTGATCGATTCGCTTACTGCTTAAGTCTTAATGCCTAATTCAAACTGGACGTAGCAAACGTCAAGCAACGGAGCAGCAACCAATCAGTGAGATGATATTTACAGTGGCGTAAACAATATCGGCTTGCTGGTTGGTTGCTGCTCCGCTGCTTGACGCTTGCTGCGTCCAGTGTGAATTAAGTATAAGTCTTAAGTTTTTTTATGTGCCATGGCCTTAAGTAGAATGGAGCCATCGACGAAATACGATTAAAGACCATGGCCGCTCTCAGGGTGATTTTACATGCAGCGCGGTACGCGGTAAAGTAACTAGAAACCGCGCGCGGTGAGCCGTGCTAATTTTCTCCTACTATTACATGGAGCAGAAACTGCGCGGAAAAGCGGCATGGACTAGTGACAAGTTGACGTTTCTATGCACTTTTTAATGAAATTAATAGATTTAAATGCAATTATTAAGCAGATTCGTTGAAAAAATAAGAGTATTGATAAAATGTGCATAGAAATAAGTTAATACATTTAAGAAAATGCATACAAATGTGAACTTTACCGCGTACCGTATACCGCGTACCGCGTACCGCGGCTTGCCGCCGCGGTTTCTAGTTATTTTACCGCCTACCGCGTACCGCGCTGCATGTAAAATCACCCCAGGTTTCTCTCTGTTTACACCTTCAGTATTGTCAACTCAGTAGATTTTCTACCAGATCTGATAGAATGGCATAGTCTTCTAATAGGTAAAAATCCATTTTGGTAGTCGAGTTTCTGGTAAAATGATCAGTACAACAGTAAATTTTTTAATAGAATTTTGTTTAAGCCAAAAGGCTTGTGATTACCCCTACTTCACATTTCCGGAAAATTTGAGATCTATTCTCTATTTTTAGGCCGGTTGAAGATTGAAATTTGACCAATAAGGACAAAGAAATTTTAGCTCCTTTCGTTTTGATTGGTCAAATTTGAATTTTTCAATCTTTAATCTCAATTTTCAATGCGTCTGATTCCGGCCTTACATTCTCCACTTCAACTTATTACACCGTGTGTACCATTTCAGAGAGTACAGGAAAAAAAGAACAGACCTTTGGACG